TGACTGAATCAATGTTACAATTAGTTTGTACTTTGCACCTGACTGAAATCAATGTTACAATTAGTTTGTACTTTGCACCTGACTGAAATCAATGTTACAATTAGTTTGTACTTTGCACCTAACTGAATCAATGCATTAAGGTATTTTACTTTATTTTATTTAAGTACAAGCATCTGAGATTTAATGTATGATATATGAATTACAGAATATCTGAATTAGCATCATGGATACCCTAAAGTAGTGGTTCTCAAACACTGCATGCTCGTGTTTTGTTTAAATTGTTTTGAGGTATAACCAGTCCTAATTTAGAAAAACATGTTAGCAAAAATTAATGTTTTAATACCCATTAATTGGAAGGATATAATTACTCTTTCTGGCACTTATTTCTATATATGACATGAATAAACAATCAGAAGCTCAGAATGTCCCCCTAGTGGCTTTCTCAGCCATTTTAATTGGCTTGGCACCATTTCTTTCGTTTGAACCAATATTCCAAAGAGGTAGGGTGTGTCTTTAGTCTGCTCAAAATTTCATATTTTTTTAGACTAAAATACATCTTAGTTACTAAGCTTGATAAATTATAGTGGAATTCTAAGGTATTAATGTAGTAATTTATGATTTTTTAGTTATTCAAATGTATATATAAAACCTAAAAAATTATTTTGTTTCATATCCTCCACGGGCAAATTTTTTAAAGGCTTAGCAACCGAGTACATAGGTCATAACTAGAAGTGATAATTGTTTGCTTTACTTCTTTATTTACTGTTCTATGTTTCAAGAAAAATAAGTTTAAGAACTTATTTCAAAATACAATAATGTATAATCATGTGTATAATAATTGAAATGTGACTGTGCTGAAAGAGTTAATTGATTTTTTGAACCCACATATTTCTTCTAACATCATGAACTGTTACTGGGAAATAGGTGACGTAATACTTCATCTCCTAAAGCAAAGATGAATTTCTTCCGAGCTTCAAAAAAAAAAATCTCAGTTAATTTAAAAATTATTGGGAAATTTTCTCTTCAACTTGAACATAACAAGTATAGGCATGAATCTGAGGTGCTTTTTTTTATACATTATTTATAACTTAATCATTTTGTTTAATCAAATTGGAATGGAGCCTAGATCGTTGACTGAAAGAAACTACAAGTATAGGCATGAATCTGAGGTGCTTTTTTTTATACATTATTATAACTTAATCATTTTGTTTAATCAAATTGGAATGGAGCCTAGATCGCATTGGAAATCCGTAAAATATTCAGTGTAGTAACGTTTTGCACAAGTAAAATGTGTTGTTTGTTGTTTTTTTTTAAAGCCAAGCCCACAGAAGTTAAAATCGGAGCACGCTGAAACACTAGAGAAGTACACGTGGGAGGTAGATGAAGTAAATAACTCGGGTATGTAGATGTTGTGTAATTGAACTTGTTTAGTAGATTACTTAATGAAAATATGTACAAACATTGGATAACTTCACAGTGTAATTTAGTAAAAATATTAAACTAGAGTTTAGGCTATTGCCCGTTGTTTGGCCAGAAGTTACTGGTATTTACCATAAATTACTAATTTAAAAATGTGATGACGTGAGAAAGAGAAAGGTAAGTAGTTAGATTTGTAAAATTTCACTGTAAGTTGTTCTTCCTTAAATTATTTATGGAAAAATTATGACTTGAAAGCTTAATTTTTATTGTTTGGTTGAAAGAAAAAATTTGGATAAACAAATATATTTTTATGACACAAAAATGATCTAATTAAAAACAAGACTTCAACTTTATTGTGCTAGAAATCTTATTCCATACAGAGTTTCACATTGGAAGTTAGTTTTCTTTTATTTTCAGTTTATGATTGGTAAGAATGTTTTTTCTTAACTCTGTTGGCACAGCTAAAGGTCAAAGTGCACACATCATTCAACATGGTATTGTACATTTGATATCAAAGTTAAAGCCTATTCATTTTACCGTGTATTGCTGATTTAAGAATAGTTTGTGTTAAAGGAGAGTAAATACCAGAAAAGATATACCAGAATTCTGGAAAACAAAACTTAAGATATGCACTAAGGAGGTTCTGGAGGTTATACAATTGGATATGTAAACTTTATAATTGTGTACAACTTATATCAGTACTTTAATGGGTATCTAGTAACATCTGTTCTAGCATTGTAACTCCTGCATAAATATCTTTATTTATTTATTTAGCTGGATATCTGTGTGAAGACCTGTTTCTTCTCCTTCAGTCACTTGTGGTAAGTGTGGTAATCAACAAAGTTAATGTTAAATGTGGTAATTATTTATTTATTTAGCTGGATATCTGTGTGAAGACCTGTTTCTTCTCCTTCAGTCACTTGTGGTAAGTGTGGTAATCAACAAAGTTAATGTTAAATGTGGTAATTAGAGAGTATGGAAACTTGTAATAATGAAAATGAGATTTAAAAATTTCATATGACCCTTCCCCTCAGCTAAACCCACTTCATTATTTATTAGGACACAACTTGGTAAGATTTTGAATTTCTGTGTTTATTTTTAGTGACAACTGTTTTCCTTATAACTTTAGTGTGATTAGTCTTCTCTTCTTGTGAATACAACAATATTGTCACAACAAATTTTTTATCTAAATTTAGAAAGACTGGTATTCTTTATTTTGTTTATACAACAAAATTGTTACAACTATTTTTCATCGAACTATAATCATAATGTTATTTTGATTTATAATCTAATTTCTGATCTTCACATTGACTAGTATTTTCCAATATATTATAATTAGTATTTCAACTCATCTTTTTCTGTGCATGTCATGAGGTTTTAGAGACTTTCACTCAAAATTTAATTAAGCTACTTTCTTTTAATGGTATAACAATGAATGTAGCATAAAAGCGTAGCTAATAATCCATATTTTAATAGTATATAAGTTTTAAGTTCTTACTTTTATAAGGCAATATTTTAAAAATATCTAGAATTTCCACTTGTGGTTGAAGTGACATTTTCTTTCTAGGCATCCCCTCTTCTCTAATTTATTTACCATCCCTCCAAAAAATATGAAATTTAATGTAAATTACTTATTATAATATCATCATTGCTCAGGCAAAGCATACTTTTCATAGCCTTCAATCTTATTTGGTTATGGAACCATGAAATAGACAACCAGACCCGTCTTGTAACACCCACCTGTCACATCCTCTCTTTCAGAAATAGCCAATAGTTCTCTCATTCTCTCTGACATTCAATACTATATTATTTATAAACAATGTATCAAATGATGTATTATATTATTTCGTTTTCTGTAAAGAGAATTGTCAATTTCACTTTAAGTTAAAGCTTGATTCCCATGGGAAACACATCAACAAGCATAGATGAAGTTTTAATGGCTCTTGTCACCTAGTTAGAAAGCCAGAAAAATTATGAATGTCAAAGGATATTATCTGCTTTTTGCAAATTATTATTCTGTGTTCTTTGGTGCATTATTTAATTAAATAAAAAATTGTTTAGTGCAGTAATATCATTGATATTAAAAAAGTAGGGTTAATTGTCATTGACAGTTGACAGCAAAAAAAATGACCCTTATGTACTTTTTTCTTGTTTTTCATGGACATTCTTTATTTCTTATTATAAAGTAACTAAAATGTAGAAAGAAACTTATGTTAGTAAAGGTTAGATTAGGTGAAGTAAATAATAATAATAATATAATTAAACATTTTCAGAGGGTACGCTCACAAGTAGCTTGTGCGTGATATACTTCAATAGCATAATGTGAGCTGCACACTTACCAAGTGATTTACAACTTATAATATTGTGAATAGTAATTAGACAGGATTCATAGGGCAATAAAATTTAAGTATAATTAGCTGTATACTTTTATGAGTGTAAAGCTACTTAAGATAAACAAATGAAGTTTCATATTAGAATTTGAAGTCATTCTAGAAAGAAAAAAAGGGTAACTTACATTTAATTCAACTTATTTATTTTTTTGATGGTTACAAAGTCAGTCAAATTGATCAACCTTGTATGAAGTTAGGGTAGAGAAAATAAAATAAAATATAAAGTTTTACTGAAAAAAGTTTGCAGTTTATTTAGGAGGTTTTAGAGATTACCTAAACACAATCTGAGATTTTTGAGGCAAAAAAAAATTGTAATCTTAACATGGAGATCACTTAGCACTCTGACTAATATATATAGAAAAATTTCATTAAAAAATCAGAGTATTTGTGTATAAAACAGTTGTAATGTTTATTAAAAAGCTGCCAAATTTTGTGAAGATACACAAAGTGTATTAAAAGTTATAGTATGGAAACTATACCGAGAACAGAATGGTTACAAAGTCGGTCAATTTGACCGACCTTATAGTGAGAGGGATAAGGAATCAAGATCCAATTTTTTCCAGTGATACTTTATCAATACTGTTTTCTGTTAGTAGGAATCAATATGAAACTGTGTGTGTGTGGACACTTAAAATCTGGCCATTTGATTTCCACACCTAAAGCAACATAAAGCTCCATGACAGTCTCATTGACCAGTTTGAGCTGATGTGAGCTAACTTTGTTCAGAACTGCACTTGTCAGCTAGTATAAATTGTGTCACTATATGTGAGTATTTATACTTCCATTTCACAGTTCACCCCCAGCAACATGTGAAAAACAACAACTTAGTGCTAGATTACATAGTCAGGCTTGTGTATATGAACCTTTTTATATACATTGTTTAGATGGCATGCCAGTCTTGTGACATTGAAACTTTGAAATTACTGCAGAAAGACTTGTGGTAAGTGTTTGTAGAAATAAAATAGTATTTGATAAATAGCATTTATAAATATGATTTTTTGTTAGTTTTATTTAAATCTAAGTATTCAGTGGTATATAAAACATTCTTGGTAACATTTCAAATATTGCAAAATTAAATTGTCCTGAGAAAGTTGTATGCATGAAAAATTGTAACTACAGAAAATTTACACTTGTGTAGTATTCTCATTACACTAATTAACTTTTTGGGTAGTAACTGCAAATAACAGGAGGAACATTCAGGATATGTATTATAGAACTAATGGATAAAAAATTGGGCAGCTCTTCTCGACTACAGAAAGAGGCTGTTATAAACTGAACATTATGATATATATACAGAAACAACAATGTGAATACTCGGAGCACATGTGCTACCCATGTAATGGATTGCCCCAAGTGAACGTAGGTAGAGTTTAATCTCAAGGTATTTTGAATCTTAAATGCAGCATTATTACTAGAGAGAGCAACTACAAGATATGAAAATAAGTCTTTTGGTAATATTGTCTGTCAGAACAATCTAATAGTATGTAAGTGTATCACAGACCGTGAATAGTAAAGATGTAAAAACCACATTTATAAATGTATGACGAATGACCATTTATTTGTATTTCATATCCACAAGTGATCATCAGATGCCTCACTTGCATAAAATTGAAATAAGAGAGCTGGTTGATGTTATTTTATAACAGTGGTTTTGTCTTGAGTAGCTGTAATACTACAAATTGTGCTTACCTTATAATTGTTTAATATTATAAGAGAAGTGGTTGATGTTATTTTATAACAGTGGTTTTGTCTTGAGTAGCTGTAATACTACAAATTGTGCTTACCTTATAATTGTTTAATATTATAAGAGAAGTGGTTGATGTTATTTTATAACAGTGGCTTTGTCTTGGGTAGCTGTAATACTACAAATTGTGCTTACCTTATATAATTGTTTAATATTATATAACAGTGGTTTTGTCTTGGGTAGCTGTAATACTACAAATTGTGCTTACCTTATA